GTCAACAAAGGCTGGAACAAGCTGTGCCAGTTGCTCCTATGTTGTTTTTTTATGTCGACACGCTTCAGGTCTGACTTCTCTCCCCTAAATGCCAGCAATTTGATGCTCCATGGTACCTGACATTACCCTGGAGTGTTTAAATAAACAGCAAATAGCACTTGCTGCCACTGGTGACATTAATAACTACAGCAACAGGAGGAGAGCACATTGTGGTGTTGAGATGACCCCTGGAGTAGAGTGAGGTCCTTGGCAGCATCTAGAGTTTGTTGTGTTAATGATCATGGTGTTGCAACGCTTCACTACCCTGAGAACTGACGACCTCAGCTCTGGTAATGCCATAATATTTAATGTGGCTGCCTCTAGCTACTTGAATCCCCTGGAAAATGTTTTTGTCTGGCATAACATCAAGGGTTTCCTAATAAGGTCCAGTGTCTCTGTATGTATTTTTACAGACATGCTATACTTTCCTGTGTAGTATCACTGGTTCTTCGCTATAAATGTTAGTGACATTTGCACACTGTAAATGAATATTTATCTAGTTACCAATCTATTGATCCACATATTTACTATCATCTATATTTTACCATATCCTATAAAAATACCCCTTCACTTCCTCCCTTCCTTCCATTACTAAAGCAATAGTGGTTTTGTTTGTTTGTTTTTGTTTCTATAGCTAGGCTAGGCTCTCCAAGGCACTGAAACAAGTAAATGCCAGAGAGGTCAGGTTCTTAATATCTTGCTACTTCTAGTGAGGGCAGAAAGAAAACCCACTATGTAATTGATGCTGGCCTTGAACTCGGATCCTCCTGCCTCATCCTCTCAAGTGCAGAGAGCAGAAACCTGTGCCACCAGGCCCAACTGATTATACATTAAATTGTGTCTGTTATTTAAAATATTTTAGCAAAGTGCTAAATACCCCCAGCATTGAACAAGCAGAAAAACAGTTAAAAGACTGTATTACACAAAAAATATCACTCAGTGTTTCTACTCTCTAAGACAAATCGATTGTATTAAGATTTTTTGAATGGGAATTTATTTAAAAATTATGTAACACAAAATTTAACCTTTTCCTAGTGATACTTGGTTTTGATTGCTGTTAGGTTCTACCATTCTAGATGGTGTTTGCCCTGGGAATCCTTTAGAGAGGAGATTTGGGAGGGCTTTCTGAGGAGGCAGCAGAACAAACAGCGAGTGAAAAGTCAAGTAGTTTAAAATAAAAAAAATCAATACAACAGACAATCAAATAATCAAAGTCAGAATGAGGGAAACATGGAAGAGAATAAAAGAGTTTTAATGTAGGCATGTGAGTTGCTAAGTTTAATCAAGTTATTAAAACAGCTACAAATTTGAGCCCTGTCTTCCTGGAAGCCATGATTAAAAAGGGAAATGCAACACACACACACACACACACACACACACACACACATACACACACACACACAATTAAAAGCAAATAAATCTAAAGATCTGGAAATAATACCTTGGATTTGAAGGCAGAGATATAACTGATTCAGAAAATGCTGTGTGACTGGGAGCTGTCTCTGTCTGCAACCCTTTCCGCTTACGTTCTCTTTCCATTCTCTCTGAAACCTGGCCCTCTATTCCTTTTTCAGACCCTTAGTGGAAAAGCGTGTCTGTAGACAGCTCCTCTGTTCTTCCCTTTCTCCCCACCTTGCATTCTTCAGGCTCTGCTCGCGTGGGCAGGCTGGCCTTCAGCTTGCCCTTCCCCTGCCTCAGCTTCCAGAGTGATAGTAACAAAGGCCTATGCACCAGCTCCCAAGTTTTAAATATTAACAGTTGCCTAGAGAAAGGCTGAAATCTCTCAGCCACCATTTCAAATGTCTGGGAAAGGGATGCCACTGTCTTGGCATAGTATTGGAGCAGTTACCCATAGCCAGGAGGCTTGGTGGTCTGAGAAAACAGGGTTAGTTTCCAGAAACTATCTGCTTATACTGCTAGGTTTTAAAATGTTTTTTATTTGAGACATAATCTCATGTTGGCTTTGTGAAGCTCTGACTGGCTTGGCACCTACTGTATCGCTGAGGCTGGCCTTGAATTGCTCATCTTCTTGCCTCTGTGTCCCAAATGCTGGGATACGGACCACCATGCACTCTCAGCTTTATACTGCTGACTTTATTAATTGATTATATATATATGTATATATATTTTAAATTTATTTAGAGACAGGGTCTTACTATACAACCCCGGCTGGCCTGGAATTCACTATATAGACCAAGTTGGCCTTAAACTCACAAGTACTGGGATTAAATATGCATACTACCATGCCCAGCTTATACTGATTTTTTTTTTTTTTGGTTTTTATGAGACAGGGTTTCTCTGTATTGTTTCGGAGGCTGTCGGTCCAGCCCGGCCTCGAACTCACAGAGATCCGCCTGCCTCTGCCTCCCGAGTGCTGGGATTAAAGGCGTGTGCCACCACCGCCCGGCGCTTATACTGATTTTAAAATATAGCTCGCAACTTATCCCATGACCCATCTCTCCCCTCCCTCCCTCCCTCCCTCCCTCCCTCCCTCCCTCCCTCCCTCCCTCCCTCCCTCCCTCCCTCCCTCCCTCCCTCCCTCCCTCTGTATTGTGTATATATATGGTGTTTGTGTGTAAATATGGGAAGGTGTGCTTACCTGTGCATGTATATATGGAGGTCAGAGATTGACTCAGATGTTTTTTTTGCTTTCTACCCTTCTGTTTTTGAGATCAGGTCTTTTGGATGGGAGCTTGTCATTTCATCCAGGCTGACTGTCCAGTGAGCTGGGGGATTCACCTGTTTCTGCATCTAGCACTAGGGTTACAGACTCACTGCTGCACCCGATCAAAAGCCATCTAGTGGGAGGATAGCAACAATAAAGAGACAAAGTAGGGGCTGGAGAGATGGCTCAGTGATTAAGACAGCACTTGCTGCTCTCCCAGAGCACCGAGTTCAGTTCCCAACACCCACATGGGGTGACTCATAACTGAAACTCCAGCTCCAGAGGAATCTGACTCCTTGCTACTTTGGACATCAGCACACATATGCCCCCCACACAAATAAATAATATTTATAAAATAGCCACAAGTGTGTGTGTGTGTGTGTGTGTGTGTGTGTGTGTGTGTGTGTGTGTGTTTAGGCCAGAATTCAGCCTCAGGTGTTATTCCTAGGAACTGTCTACCTTGGTTTTTGACCCAGGGTTCCTCACTGCTCACTGGCCTGAGCTTATCAATTAGTCTGTGATAGCTAGCTTACAAGCCCAGAGAGTCCCCTATTTTCTTAGTTCTGGGATTATGACCATGTGGCCCCCCCATGTCAAGTTTTCTTTTAAATTTATTTTAATTAATTTTGTTTTTACTTGGGTTCTGGGCGTCAAACCCAGGTAGTCATGCTTGGACAGTAAGTATTTTACCAACTGAACTATCTTCCCAGATTACAAACAGTGCTATTTGATGGTCGGACCCAACTCAGTACGAAACCTAGCCCACTGATTCCCAGTCAGTGCTAGGAAAACAAAAATAAAACCAAACAAACTGGGATCTATTTAGCCAGAATCTCTGAGTGTATAGCTTATGAACCTACATTTAAACACAAAATAAAACAAAATAAAGGCAACACCCTGTATGTCTGTGATGTTGAGCAAGTTTGGGGGCCACTGACACAGGCTGTGCGAAGGAAGACTCCTCTGCATGCCTTTCCAACAGTTCTTCCTACCAGTGTTTTCCAGGAGCCAGGCTTTGTGAAACCAAGGGTTGATAGTTTGAAGTTACTTTTGGGAATGGGCTGGTGTGTAAAAGGCTTTATAGCGGCTTATTAAAGGAGATCTATACACGTTACAGTTCAACGAAGCACATGGTAGAGTTTATCTCCTTTTCTGGACATCGTGGTAGCACCCTCATGCGTGTTCTTACGCTTGGATGGACAGTCTTGCCATCTTCTCCTAGCAAGGAGACCATGCAGAGTAAAAATTCTCACATCTCTTCCAGACTCGTTAGGCAATAGTTCTGTAATTGTCCCGAACATTTCTTGGCACGATTCCAAAGTTCTATAATATAGTACATGGTGGGGATTATTTATGTTTGAAAAAATGGTTTTTAAAACGAAGTTACCAAGTAAGTATTCATGACCATTTGAGCGTTTTTTTTCTTTTTCTTTTCTTTTTTTCTATGAAGGGAACAGGATGAACTAAGTAGTTGCCAAATGTACACCTGTAAGCAATAAAATTAATGGTTCTGCTGTACTGTTACTGGCTATCAATCACCTTAATTTTAGAAGACATCTGCCTTGAATAATTATGCTAGTCCAAGTAGAGTTGAATTTCTTCCGCACAGCTGCTGGAGAGCAGGACCCCGCCCACTGAAGCCATTCCTAGATCGTGTCAATAGAGCATTAGCATACAGCTGGAGCCAGCTTTTCATGTCTCTATTGCTGCGACATGCATTGAGATGGTCCCACAGAGGCTTGGGACAAACCCAGAGATATGTTATTTGAGTCGTCACGGGCCGCTTCAGCCATCCTTTGAGGATACACACCCGCCTCTCAGCGGTGACTTTCCGACCACGTTCCTGTAGTTTTTAGGCCCCCTGGTCTCAGCACTAGTTCTGACTGTCTGGGCCTTGACTGAGACTGTGTCTGGACTTCCCGTCGTGACAGCGACAGTGCTGTTAAAAGGCGTTTTCTCTGACACTGGGCTGCTCTGTGTTCGGTTTCTGCGGTGCGGCCCGTGGGGACCAGGCTCTGGGGCATGTGGGCACCGTTGTGTGGCCCGTGCTCCCCACACAGGCTCCACGCACGCGGAAAGCAGGGGCTTTGCACTTTGTCCCGGTGAGGACCCCGTCCACCACCCGAGTCTGCTCAGCGCCTGAGAAAAGTTAAGCTTCTTTAGGTGTGGAGTCCGGGGCTGGCGACCACCCGCATCGAGTGTGCTCCTCGGTCAGAGGCAGGCCGCTTGCCCGCGGTGAGTGGCCCCCCGGGGTCGCCTCACAGGGCCGGGCGAGCTGCCCTGAGGGAAAGGGTGGGCGGAAGGGTTAGGCTGTGGAGCGCCGTTGCTATGGCAACCTCGGGCAAACCGGCCCCAGGGCCTCCGGGTCTGCCAGGCGGCCAGTGCTGAGGAGGGACCTGGCGATGAGGACCACAGACCCTTCAGGAGTCTCCCGGGGCCTAAGCAGTTGGGATCTCATTTCTCCCTGGTCTGGTGTTTGGGGTGGTCGCTGGCCGCTTGGGTCCATCCATACCTCCTCGCCCGCATCCCACTTTCACCAGAAGAAGCATTTTTGAAAGTTTAATGTGACCTCACTAAGGGTAAGTGTGTGTGTGTGTGTGTGGGGGGGGGAAAGTCTTAAAAATCTGTGGTGTTGTAAGGGTTTGGTTTCTTTTTAATCTCCAAAGAACCCGACACCTAGCAGGACCTCCTTACGTGGTAGCAGTTTCTTAGGGCGCGTCCTTGCACACGGTGGATGCTCAGGAGATAGGGTGACGTTTAAGAGCCGTCTCCTGCTTATTCCGAGGACAGGGAATTTCCTCAGTTTCCCAGCTGCACCTTAGGATTCCTCACACAGCTGTGGGCTGAAATGACTCTGTATGTGGTACCGCCCTGTGAATGACAAATGGCAAGCGGTCAAGTTAGTTGTAGAGGATTAGTGCACATTTGGGATACTCTCCTCACCACAGCTGAGGAGAACCCGCGTCTTTTGATCCGACTACCTTCATCATCAGACCAGGATCCTGTCAGCTGTAGAGAGGAGGAAGGATCTGTGAGTGTAAAGCAAAATCAACAACAATTTTGAAGATAAGTTTTCTCTCCTTCTCCAAATGGTCTTCAAATTGTGAACAGTGTGTAGAAATACTACACACCTAAAATTCCAATCTCTGTAAGTCACCAGTGTTCTTGTCCTAATGAATCGTGCATCTATTTAGTTTTCAAGCCAGGAATCTCACCCTCATTAGTATCCATTTCCTATGTCCATATCATCACCAGTTTGTGTTCATTTTGTTTCATGCCAAAGATCAGTTCTGCTTCTGTTTCTTCTTCTGTGACCCAAGAAAAGGCTACCATTATCTCATCTTGTCTCTCACAGTTACCTCCTAATTAGTCTGAAGTCATCATCTCATTTTAAAGTATTCCTGCTTTTCTGCTCGGCAGTAGGAACAATATTTAAAATTTATAAATTGATTATGCTGGACCAAAGAAATGGCTCCTAGGGCAAATGTGCTTGCCATCAAGTCCAATAACCCGAGTTTGATCCTCTGGACTCACACCGTGGAAGGGGACAACTGACCCCCCCCCCCCCCCACATGATCTCTAGTACCTCTAAAGAATAAAAAAAAAATCTAGGCTGGGAATGGCAGCTAGCTTCTAACTCTTGCTGATGTAGTCTCCCAGGTGGCTGGGATTATAAGTATGCACCATTGTTCTTGAGTCTATATAACCTTGTTGGAGGAAGTGTGTCACTGTTGGGTGGGCTTTGAGGTTTCAAAAGTTCAAGCCAGGCCACCCTCTCTCTCTCCAAGCTGCCTGTGGGTCTGGATGTAGAACTCTCAGCTGCTTCTCCAGCGCTATGTCTGCCTGTGTGATATACCATGCTCCCTGCTGGGCCATCATGTTAATGTAAACTATAAACAAGTCCCAATTAAATGCTCTCTTTAATAAGAGTTGCAATGGTCATGGGATCTCTTCACATTAGAAGAACACTCAGACAACTCTGAATGTCATCAAGTACATCAACTTCTCTTTAGGAAACTGAATCTCAATTGGGATAAAGGTGATGTATAGATTGGCATTAGTGCATGGCAAGGCTTAGCAACAAATGAATTTACCAAAAAGTTATGAAAATATATTGTTTCCACAGATTTTTTTGGGGGTATTAGAATTTCAGTGTAGAATTAATTCACCTTCTCAATGCCTCAGATTTTACTTTGGGAAGTCAGATGTGACACTAGCCTGTAGGTTCAGCATCATATTGCTTTGAGAAAAAAATGAATTACTATATGGGAACTACTTGGAATAGTGAATTCTGCTTAGTAATGTGTAAGGGTCCACTCATGCCATTTTCTTAGCTCCATAATGACACTACAAATGAAGCATTATTAGCTATCATTATTGTTATTTATTTATTTATTTATTTATCAAGACAGGGTTTCTCTGTGTAACAGTCCTGGCTGTCTTGAAACTAGTTCTGTAGACCAGGATGGCCTCGAACTCACAGAGATCTGCCTGTCTCTGCCTCCTGAGTGCTGGGATTAAAGGTGTGTACCACCACCACCTGGCCTACTATTGTTATTTATACATCAAGTACAAAATACAATGATGATGTAAATGTACTCATAATTTAATCTTTTCATTAAATCCTTGTTGCTTAAGGCCAGTTTCTCAAGAATGTTATTTACAAAGGTCAGGACTGCTGTAATGTTCTTGAATTGCAGGGCTGCTACACTCTCCAGAAAGATGATAGTCTCCAGCCCCCCCCCATCTGCTGTATGATGCTCATTTCACAGATAAAAATGGTTCCTCTTTATTTTAACTTGTACCTTTATTATTTGTTTAAGCATTAAACAACCTTATTATTAGCTGTTAGCAATTTCTTTAATCTGAATTGCCTATACAAACTTTTTGAAGGACAGTTACTAGAAGACATAGTAACTGTATACATTTATGTGGTACAGTGTGGCATTTGAATATTTCACACAGCATGTAGTGGTCAGATCAGGACAACTGTCATATTTATCTTTTTGAGCTAGAAGTTTTGAAATCGTTGTCATTGACTACAGATATCCTATTGTAAGAATATTAGAAGCTATTCCTCGAATCCAACTGCACCCCTGACCTACTTATCATACCCTGTCTGTTTTTTATTATCATTTGTTTAATTTCTGCCTTCCTTGGCCTAGGTTCAAACCAGTGTCCTGGGCTTTGGCAGGAATTAGATAATATGCCACTGGGGCCCAGGGCAGGTTGTTACTTGCCTGTAGGCTATTGAGTGTGGGAGAGACCATTGCTTCAGAAGCTAAGTCTTGGGTGAAATCTGAAATCAACAGAGATGGGAAGAAAAGGGCATCCAGGTGGGAGGCAGAGGCCCAAGGGAGATGATTGGGCTGGCTGGCTCAAAGCTGGGAGAAGCTTCACTGCCTTTCCACTGGAACACTGCAGATTCTTCTGTGGAAGAAGAGGGGTGCTGAGGACACTGTGTTGGCCCCACACTCATTTGGGAGAACTGTTGATATAATATGAATATTGATTGTTATACAGGTTCTTTTTTTTACCACAATAACCTTTTTATTTTGGGGAGTCTTGAGTGAACCCAGGGCCTATTACTATGTACATACCATGTACCATGAGCATTCCTTGGCTCCTATGTGATTTGATATTTAGAATGTCCTTATGCCAAGACTGGACAACAGCCTACACTTTCTTTAAAAATGTAACCATACTTTTAAAAAATGTTATTTTGTGACACCATTAGAGGTAATGACGGTCGGCATAAGAAAGTTGAGAGCCTAGGGAGATGGTACAGTGGGTAACAGCACTTTCTGTATAAGCATGAGGACCTGGGTTCAGATACCAGAACCTACCTAAAAGGCTGGGTGTGGCCAATCAATGGAGTGTCTGTAACTTCAGCGAGCTGGGGTATGTGTGCTGAGACAGGAGGATCATGGCTAGCTTCTAGCCCATCTCCAGGTTCAGTGGTGGACCCTGTCTCAAAGGAAAAAGGTAGAGCTCCCTAGAGCAGGACACCAGACATCCTCGTCTGGCCTGTGTCAGTGTGCAAACCGGCACACATTCACATAGATACCATGCATATGTTGTGAATGTGCACACCTGCCCACATCCATGCCCCCCAACACACACAGTTGAACAGTGTACTTTCTCATAAACATTCTAAGAATGATGTTGCAAAGCCTGGTGCTCATGTCATCTTCCTGCACACTGAGGAGGGAAGAAAAGAGCTGTGGAGGGAGAACGAGAAAGGCTCTTTCTGAAGAGGCTGCCACGCATTGTAAACCTGTAGATTTGTTTCTTAATCTTTGAGACCCTGAGAAGTGGCTTCTGGAAGAGAAGATGTAATCCTGGAGGTGTTTTCTCTGCTCACCTGTGTGATGATCCTTCATAGTATTTCACACACTCACATTTGCTACATACTGAGAAATGTCTATTTTTCAAATAGAAGCTTAAATACAGAAAATGTGACATAATTGGTTGCTGCCTCTCTGGTGTACTTTAGGATGTATTTCTCTGTCCTTCTTAATTCCACTACATATTAGTGAGGCTAATTATGTTTTGCTTGGATTTACCTTTAGGGCCCTAGAATGCAAATAATGGATACATTGTTGTTAAACTGTATTAACAGATCTGCTCTAAATTATACACTGTACAAATAAATTGTACAGTGTATAAGAAATAAACCTCCCAAATCTCTGTGGTTTTATTGGTTCAAAGTTTTTTTAAAGGTTTACAAAGTGAGGACAATGACTTTAATAACTAATTAAAATATCCTTTCTATATATTGTAGACTACATAACATTACCTTTTAAAATAATCATTGATTATATACATATGTATGTGACATGAAAATAGAGGCAAGACTGTTGGCCGGGGGAGGGGGGACATGAGGGGGGAGACAGGACACACCAGTGAGAGGCAAGAAAAGTAATGGACAAGAAAAGTAATGGGGGCAAATATAAGTAAACATACATAAAACTATCAGAGGAAAACATTGTTTTGTACACTTATTGAAAAATGAAAAAAATTGAAGTTATCACTTTGAATTCCACTCAGGATGAGTAATAAATTGTAATAAAATAAGAAAAACACCCAAGTTTTTTGTGTGTGTTTTTAGTGTTGAAGATAGGTTTGATACTGTTAACAAAGTTTGCTGTGGTACTGCACACATATAATCTCAGCACTTGAGAAGCTGAGGCAGGAGGATTGAAAGTTTGAGGCCAGCCTGGGTTCCATAGCAGGCTCTTGTCTCAAAAACTTGTTACCATCGTCTTGTTTTTGGGCATGAATTATTAGTAAACAGTATTGACTATTGTAAACATGTATTCAGCAAAGCTTCATTGGGTGCTTGTGATACACACCCAGTTCTAGAATACTGAGCCTTGTCTCCACATTTGCATTACATGTATGAAAAGTACTTTTAACATGAGCTGGTAGTTATTTCAAGAAGCTGATCATCTGGACCCATATCAATTCTGGACCCTAGTAATTGATGGAGTTATAACAAAAGCATTATAGAAAACCCGCCGAATCTGCAAGGCTGAGATGGTGGTCACTGAGGTGCTGGTCGTTGTGTTGCTGTCAT